AATCACCCAGTTAATTGCTCTTGAAACTATTAGCTGAATTCCGTGTGTAATGGATGAGACATTTAAAGCGCGGGGAGAAGAAAAAAAGCAAAAACAAGACCTCAACAGGCTTAGCTTATGCGAATTGGGCTTCTTGGCGAGCCTTTGGAACTTGAAAATGTGTGTTTAAGGCCGTGAATCCCACTTCTGACACCAGTATTGAACAGGAAATGTGCAGAGAATGAACTGCAACTTCAAAATCATATTGGAAATCATATGAAAAATGTATATTTCTGATTATTCTCCACTCCCAACTTCTTGTTTTAACTGCTTTCAATCTCTCAGGTGATCTCATGAAGTGAACCGGGAGAGTAACTTAAAATTCACTCCGATTAAGGTTGATTGAATACATGAAGTGGTCAAAGAGGAGGCGAAAAAACTCAAAGGTAGAATGAGATAAAGTGATTATGGGCAGAAGAGATTCTGACGCGTGCTGACCGGTTTTCCCTGCTGGGGAAGTGCCAAGATTTAAGAGATTATCTTGAGGAGCTCAAACTGACAGAGGAGGGAAAAGTACGATAGAAAATATGTGTAACACGTGCACCAATTTGGCACAGGTAATCACAGCTGGACTCACGCGTTAACTCCCGTGGCCGCCAATTGATCAATTGTTGCTCAAAGTATCCAATAAGCATGGATTATGTGCGGAGTGTTGAGAGGCGACAATTGGAGACGGTGATATATCGCGAGAAACGAAGTAAGGAATTAACAGTGCCGAGAGAAGGTAATGAGAAGTCCCGCGACTTTTTTTTCTCCTTTCAATTCTCCCCTCAGCCAACTAATGTCGATTTACAATGAATTTTACGCAATGTTTCTGTCAATCACACTGGCTTTTTGTGTGTTGTTGTGCGCGCGATTGACGATAGACAAGATATTAAATTCTCCCCCAGATGAGGAGAGTTCTGGTGTGAAAGGAGGATTGTGAGGTATTGGCGAAAGAACGGAAAATCAGGCTCTAATGATGAAGGCTACATGTATATTTTCGCTGATTTGCTTGCCTTCGCGAGCACACGAAAAGCCGTGGGTGTTGAGTATCCGGTCAAAATGCTAGCGCTATTATGTGCAAATTGTGCTTCGGTATCTTCAACACTTCTTGCTATGCGTCTCGCGCGCCGCATCTCTCAGAAGGATACACATTTAAGGCGAATTAATGTTACAACATTGCTGATTTCACGTCTTAGATGATCGCCACTTTGGTGGTGCGGGAAAAAATTAGTGTGAATGAGAGGAAATTTATTGAGGCATCGCGCGCGCATTGGTTTGCGTACGCCTTTTTCCACCCGAAACTCGCACGCAATGATCATAATTTTCCACAGAGACACACTCAATGGCATGTAATGTTTACGATAATTGCATTTTAAGATTAATCTCTCTATTGATATTGCTACAATTTAAAATGTCCATTTGCATGTATTTTCTCTGATTGTGTTGGCAGTCAACATTAAAGCCCTCTCTTTTGAGATCGCCAGGCAAGAGTGTAAAAATCTTTATGGGGACTTTTTGCAAACAATTTAAGTGATTTTATTGGAAATGGAAAATGGCATTATGGGAGACCAAAAACACACCGCCAATTCCCTTTCAATACCTGCAGTCGCGGGTAAAGTGCACAATGTTCGCGCATAGATGCGGTTTCAATTGGTAGAAAAGGTCAACAATTTATAATATTATTTGGATGATTGGCATTTATTCTTGCGCGGCGCGCAATCGAAAAAGTAATATAATAAGTCATGACTTTGCCATATTCAACTTGAATCTCTGCCTGTGAAGTTTGTCGGACATTTTTTACGTAATACAAGTCAATATCATAAGGTATAAATAGGCAGTCGATGAATACAAATGTGCCAGAGATACATTCCGAAATTCACTCTAGCCTTAATTAACACGACATAGAGCAAATGGTGAACCAATTAAAATCAAAAGTGGCACAATGGCAACTTTTTTCGCAGATTCCTCGTCTCTTCGACTATTGATGTCTTTTGTTCGCTTTTGCACTGCAGATGAGAATCTAACCAATATGAGTCGCTGATTGGGTGTGCTCACATGACAAAAAATATTGAATTTGAGCGAGAAGATCATCTGCAAACACTGGTCTGGCTGAACAATGCGTCTAAGTGTGATGCCGAGTGATAGAAATTACACTGGAAGAAATGGTTGTGATTTGGGAAGAAAGACAGAGGGCTGGAGTGGCTCGGTTTGTCAGAGTGTAGCGCATAAAGAAGCTCCGGATTCGTACTTAAGAGTGGCTGAAAAGTGGCTTTCTCACACTGTGTCATCGCAGCCAATATACGCGGTCACAGTTTCTTCGATGGAATTACAATAGTTTGCTCATGCTGTACATAGAGTTGAGTGAGTGTTTCGAGCATGGAGATGGAATAATTCGCAAAAGCGCGTCTCGCGAGTGCTTTCGAGTGGTGCGCAAGTGTCCACAACAGCTGAACACACAGCGATAAGCGCTGGAAATGTATGCAAATTGTCATATCGCTCTTCCTTTTCATTTCTCTCCAGTCTCTTATAAACAGCGAGATAGAGAAGAGAGTCATCTACGTCAATCGTGACATGTTTAATCTATTCCTACACTGAATTATATTCCATGCTTTTGGATCACAAGAGCGCGGAGAAATATTTTGAGTATCCACAAATTTAAAATCAATAATTTATGCAATTAATCGGTTTTGCCCCAGAGGAACGGCGCATCGGAGAGTTGGCTTTAAAAAAAATGACTGCACATAAATATAAATTAAGGAAGAGACGATCAAAGGCTGGAGACGCGATAAAAGTGGATATATACCTCTAATTGATGGTGAAAGAGATGGTGCTCAGTCGTAAAATCGACCGACGGAGTAACAGTTTCTTGATTCATTCATGAAAATTCAGCTCAAACACTCGCGCCTTATCATATCAATCCGATTTTCTGCATGTTCATTCTAAAGTGTAATCTCGGAATTGGTCTTGACCATTGAAAATTATAGGTTCCAGTGAGAAAATCACTGTCGCGTCTCCGAGCGTCCCCGACTTATCGAGTAAAAATGCATTTCAGCGCTTGTTTGATAAATATTCTAATGAGCTCCGATAGATATAATGGACACTTGAGGGAATTTATTGGCGTGTGGTCTTGATGTGGCCTTAATTCTTAGGGCTACACCGAAAACACACTGCACGCATATTTGTTTTGAGAAACACGGTCTCACTTTGGTCGGAATCTTCGTACATCACGCGTGCAAGAAGAGTTGTGATAGAATTTCATGCAAATTCTGTGACCTCCTTAGAGACATTCTATTCAATTTTATGTCCAACATGCCGACGATGCCATGATTCATGTAATATTTGACGTGTGTGGTTAATATTCAGCACAAAAGACACACGCTGTCAGATTTTAATTACATCAATACTAATTACCATCTGTCTTGTTTCATTTACTCATAAGATTTCTAGAAGAAAAAAAATCCACGCAGCCTTTCTTAAGTGTGGCCCCAACAATAAAGTATTTAAATTTACTGGATGAATAAAAATGTGGTCTTAAAGTATCACATGATGAGGCATTTCTCGCCTCAGAAGAGTCCCAGAGAAGTGAGAAAGAGGAAGACATGAAATTTTAGTAGTAGAATTTCATTCATATTTTTTATCCATCGCCATGAACAAAAATGTGATATAAATTTTGAGTCATTTCCCCTCCAGACCTCCAGTGCACAGCTTCCCGCGTGCGGAATACTTGTGTTGAATTATGAAGAATCGAATAATCCAACAATTTGTGGTTATTCCCTCTCCTCCGATCACCAATTTTTATATCGAACACAAAAGGCAAGAGAACCTATTAGCATATTCTCTGTTTATTATTTCATGTATATATGAATAAACTCTCCGCGTCCAATTCACTCTTTTTCCTGTGTGGGTCATCATCGTCAACATCTTATGGCACTATATAGCACCAGGGGCAAGAATTTATATTACTGGACGATGGCATTTCATTCTCTCTTCCTGCCTCGACTCTTCCTCTGCGGATGGCGCGATGTTGGCTGTTGCCACCCAAATTCTCCACAATAAACTGTCGATTTCTTCACTGAAAGCCATTTTCACGGCAGGACTTTGGCTTTTACGCACGAGCAACACTTTTCTGTCCACTCAACAATGCATTCTGGCTGCCATTTAGCCTAAAGCTCACTTGAAGCCGCTGTGTTTTGATATATAGATCAAAACACCGTGAATATGCAAAGACTTTGGCACTTGGATCTCAGCCACTCAGCGTGAAAAATGCCTTCAAACTCAATGCATAGCATGGGGGTGACTATAAAATTGCTAATATTATTGGACAATATTGAGATTCCTTTAGAATGTTGCATTTGAGACTCTAAATCAACACAAAATTTCTTCTCAGCCGCTTTTGAGAGTGAACAGAAGATCGACAATGAATACAATTTATATTATTGACGACAAGAGAGAAATCCTGCGGTCATTGGAAGTGAATATGCCATCATTAGGTGCACTTCATATTCTCTCTTTTATAGTGCCATACTAGCTTGTGTATTTGCAACAGTGTTTCGGGTCAAATGGACACTTGTCGCTGTTTAAAATGGCACATTTCTTGCTTGATTCCGCGGACTCTTTGCCAGTGACACGAAGGAAATTATCTTCGATACTTAATTGAGGGGAGAATCACACATATTTCGACTCAAATCGCCTCCTCTTCCTCTCTTCATGCCGCGTGTATAAGTTATTTTAAGTGTTTGGTGTCTAAATGAGTATTAATCAAATTAATTTCTTTTATGAATATATTTCTATAAACATAATCTCCACAGAAGTCATTAATAATGTCATAAATACTGGAAAAAATATTCCGTAATAAAATATTATTTAATGCAGTCATTAATTTTTTCTTCCACCATGACAATAAAAAGCTTATACAAACACGCGTGAAGAGACGAAGAGGTGGATTTGGAGTTCATTGAAAAGATATACAAACTCACCAGTATGAATCCGCTGATGGGCTTTGAGGTGCGAACTTTTCGTGTAAACTTTTGTGCATCCTGCAAAGACAAGAGACAGAGAGTTTCATGAGCGTTAACCATGCTGAAATAACTCCTCACGCGGTGCATGTCTATTGTCACTGGAGGCCATAAAAGACGGTTTTTAACAAGGAAAATACTTTTGGTGAAATTTCTGTGATGTGGCGTGTATATTTCTGAGATAAATGCAGCAAGAAAAAAGAGGCATTTTGGCTGCAATTTCAGCAATATACGAGGTGAATAAATACCCGCGAGAGCATGAGAAGCAATTGTTCATAATCGGCAAGCTTGTAAAAAAAAATCACAAGACAGGCAATAAGAAATCAAAGTACAGGCAAAAAAGGTGGAATTTTAATCGTTTTTGTAATGTGAGTGTAATAATTTAAATGCGATTATTGCCAATTTCGTCACATTTTCGAACTCGTTAATTTTTAATGGGAGCAATTAATTGGTAGATATGGGTAATTCGGCGCTTTTTTGACCATTGATTCCAACTGCGAAATAATGTGTGTGCGCGATCTCGTGCGCGCACGCAATTGTCTCTCCTCCAGCACAGCAATGTTATCTGACACAATTTTGGTCTTGCGTGCTTTTTTTTTGTCAACATTCAACTGAAGATCCATTTACACTTCCTCCTCATTCCGCAGCAGAGTGTGATCTTATGAGCTCCTCCGGATTCAATGAATGAATCTGTTTAGCCTGTGCGCTGCGGCAATAAATCTCACAGTGGCGATTGTACAAGAAGATGGAAAGTTAAGGTGAGAAATCGGACAGAGGCAAACCTAGGGGCAGATCATTGAAGCGGTTCTGCATTCACCCTCATTCAGATCCCGCAAGTATATCATATCGGGAAGACTGAACAGTTGCTTCGTGCTGTGATGCAAACATTCCACGGACAGAATGGCGATTCTGGTTCACTTGGGGAGCCTCCAGTTTTTTGCTCCGCATCCCCAGCTATGAAATACTCGCGCTGCGTTATTTATGGGATGCTGGCGAGTGTGATTCTTGCTGTTCACTTCTCTCACGATTAACAAGTATTTTCCGCGTGATGGAGTAGAAGAAACGAGAATGAATGAAAAGATCGTACGAGAGTCACTTGAATAGTTCTCGTCCATATTCGCCCAGCATTTGCGTGACAAATGAGAGTTTCCCCAGTAAACTCTTTGGGTCACTGTGTGTCGAGATCTGGATCATCGCGGGTCCTAGAACTCTGAACTCAGAGTGCACACAGTAATTAATGAGCAATGTGGCGCAATTTCGAAATGCACGTGCCAGAGCTCAGCGAGCGACTCTCTTGTGCGCCATGGTGAGTTAAGAGATGTAAAAAGTATTTTTCAATCGGCAGACAAATGGGAAAATGAGGCAAGACAAAGAGGTCTTTCAATTTGTCTGGTGATTGATTGAGATATCAGGCATCATAGCAAGGCAATAATATTTTTCCACAACACAGAACCGCATGAATGGCGACATACCGAGAAAATCACAGTGATGTATCCGCCGCTTCTCCAGCTCTGGATTGTTCCGCCGGTTGTACTTGCCGACGATCTTCACTTGTGCCCCCTGCAGCACCAGGGCCGACGACGAGGAGTTCCTGTGGCTCGATAGACTGCCGCTCCCGCCGCCCGGGACTCCGTTCGGCGTCGTCGCGTGGTGGTTTCCGCTGGAGACGTGCACGGACGGCGGCAGGGATGCGTTGCAGGCCTGCGACAGCGGCACTGAGAGCGCGGGCGGCGCGGACTGCGGCTGCTGCAGGTACGGCGGCGGAGGCGTTCGTCGCGGGGGTCCTTGCAGGGAGTTCCCCGGACTTCCGGGATCTGAGCTGGGCGGGGTGAGCGGCGGGACGTACATGAGCCGAGAGATCGGCGCGCAGAAGTTTGAGTTCTGCGGCGACATTTTACTGTGGTAGTTCTGCGGAAGAGCCGAGACTCAAACTGGGATTCTAGGATCAATTCATCAGTTTGTGACTTACATGGGGGTGATTCTGCTGCCAACTGTAGTAGTTGCCTTGGCTGGAGTTTGGCATGTGCACGTGGCCGCCGTTGTGCGGATGATTGCCGTTCGTCGTGGCGCCCAGGTAGCCGTTCAGGGGCCCCTGGAGCCCGTGCGACTGGTGCGGATGCTGAAGCGGTGGATAACTCGAGGGCGGAATGTGATACACTCCGCCGCCGTTCTGGCCATGATGGCCAGACGGCGGCTGGTGCAGAACTGAACTCGAGAGGTTTTGTTGTGGGTGGGATTTTTCGGTTTTTATCTCCAACGGACTCAGGAGAGGAGAAGCCAGAGGCTCTAGCAGATGATCATCTGCCGCCTCCAATTTTACCTGGACAAGATACGTAAATGCACTAAGTCTAAATTCAATATTCTTGGGTGGCAGTTGTGAGCTCACTTGTGTCGCCCCGGCTATCGTTCCCAGCATGATGGCGTTCTCGGGGTCGATGTTCTGGATGGAGCTCGTGATGTCCTCCCACAGCGGCGGCCGCAGGAAGGAATCGTCCACGTCATTGCAGAGCAGCTCCTTGCCCTTCGAGCCGAAGATGAAGTCCCTGCCATAGCTCTCGTATATCTGATGGTGGCCGCCGAAAGCACTTCCGCTCAACACACTGGATCCGCCCGCGTCCGGCGAGTCGCCGATCTGGTGGTGCTGCACAACCTCGAGTTCAATGTCTGTGTCCAATTTGTGAAGTCGGCCCATCAGCTCATGCCGATACTCTAGTTCTGGTGACTGAAAGCGGAGGGAAGAGAGATTCTGTGAGTTTGAATAATTAATAATAAATTCGTCGACAATTAATTATTTCACAAATTGTCAGTGTTAAATGTCAGCGTAAAAGACATTTTCCACTCTTTCATTACCACACCAAATCAGTCATTTATTTTAATGCGCGCGTTTTTTGTGTGTGGAAGAGAGAAATAAAAGAAATTGTGTACCATGTGAAGCAGTCGAGAGACCCCACAAAGAAATGTGACTAAAAGCTTCTTTCCTAGCACAGTTTGTATCTATCATATTTAATATGTGCGGCCGCGCGGGAAGAAGAGAAAATTATTGATAGAAGTGAGCGTTCGTGTCTTCGTGGACATCATTTATTTAATGTTTATAGTATTGCGATGATGAGGAGGCCTCTTTACGGAGATTGGGAAAAAATTTCTCGCTGTCCAAATACATGAAAGAGCCTCAGAATGAGACAACAATAGGTCACATCTGTCTACAACAAAGCGCACAATATTGAGACTACCAGTCATTAATTTTGAGCCTCGCCGGACATCCAAGACATTGGGATGCTGTGTGAACCTCAGCCGGAGATTTCACACTTTTCATTGTGATTCGTGTGTGGCTCGAAATCGTGGATGAGCCATCAAATGCTGACCATTTCGTATCGCCCAAAGAGAGGCGAACAACCTGGGCAAAGCTCGCCGTGAGGATCATGGCAAATTCCTGAATGTGACACTCTATAGAGACATCTTCTCCGCAGCCAAATAAACGGACCGTGGTGGCCGATTGCAGTGCGCGCTCCATCATTATTGACACGATCAAATTTATTCAGCATAAGGTGATGTTTGTTCAAATGGAAATTTATTTGTTCACAACAGCAAAGAGAAAAATCTACTATTTACATTATCAACTTGCACAATTATTGGCTTTGGCAAATAATAGAATTCTTAATGATGTTTAATCATTACATAAAAAGGAGATGGAATAAATAGCCACTGTCTCTCTTCTCCTCCCACAATCGCATCGTTTATTGAGCTGAAATCAGTTCTCACCGAGTGCTAAACTTCTTCTCCGCACAATCAATTCACGGAGGAGAGGTAAGAAGATGAAAGGCATTTCACAAATTCAACAGTGTTATTCGAATAATGTGGCACAATCACGATTTTTCATTCGATGGCCAACGAGAGAAGTATCATTTCATAGACGAAAAGAATGGTAGTCAATTAATTTCCCGCATATTAAAAACATCTCTGGTGCGTGCCTATTTTTTCCCCCCGATCTCCACTGGGCTTCAACTGTGTCTCATGAGGCTAATAAATGACTCTAAAGTTCTCACAAATCATAAGATGATTACTCCAGCAAGATGGATTATTGCTTTAGTTTCCGGTAGCATGTGAACAGACTTAAACTGGTATTAGTCAAAATGTCAGGACAGCTCTTGAATTTTGGTCAAAATAGCATTGGAGCTTGAGAATTATGTGGTCTTTTGTCTAAGTGAGTGAAATAAATATTTCTCCATTATGATGATGAAGAAGCTCGAAGGAAAATACATAAATTTTGTGCGCTCACGGTGGAAAAAAATCCCTGGTGATTGCATGAAATCAGTGAGACAAATGGAGTGTCATTAATAACGCAGCAGTTTTTAAGTAGTTCTTCGATATGACGTAACCCCATCAAGAGCGAGAATTTCTACATATAAAACTGCTGAGAGAAAATTTATTATTTCATCTAACTTAATAAATCACTCAAAATGTGTTTCTCATTTTTATTTTCTCAATGCTCAACCATTGGCAATGTTTTCTCTGCGCGGCAAATAGTGGTATGAATGATCGCTGCGGAGTTAAGTAAAGCCCAGCATTTAGAGCAATATTTTCATATCCTTCCCCACAATCAAGAGTTTCCATTTCTTTCTGACACTTCATCTTATTGTTGACACACATATTATCCTTGGCAAATTGCAATTGTATGCAAATAATACTCAACACATTGTATAGGCTAAATTGCCATTAAAATAATCACTTCAGCACTCGCGCGTCATTGGACGAGATGGTGTACATAAAAAGAAAATTGCGAGACAATTAATCTTCAATTGTACTTAAGAGACAAATTTTAACTTACAACCACCATTAATTTTATATGCTTCGCCTTTTATTTATTCCAATTGAATTTATCTGTCGCGCATTCTTTGATGCCTTCCGACGACGCGCGAGTCGCCGTGCTTCTCCTTCACTTGCTGGCAAATTATGATCCTCATGACAACATTGTTTCTGGCCATAGTTGGAATTTGTTCTTGGCTAATCGGCCGGAATGATGGTTTGATGGGGAAAAAACTGTCGAAACTCAAGTCACTTAGCGCCACAGAATGGACATTTTGGATCAGCGCCAATGAATATTCAGACATTCTGCGCTATCAAATTAGACTGCGATATGCCAGAATGTGGCGATGTTGTATTTAAACCACCACATTTCAGATAAACTCCTCCCGGGTTATCGCCCAAAAGAGATTCTCAAGCACCATCCAAACTACCTTTCGCTCCCATTGATCTCGGCTATGCAGATGAGATAATATTTTGCCCCACGAGAAATTTGCAATTTCATAGCACGAGAGCCGGACAGAAGTCGTTATCGGGCGTTGAATGATTCGTTCATCTGCAATAATTCACCCAAAATGAATTTTATCTCATGACACATTCAGAGCGTGGTTTGTTATTTCCTTATCTGAGCTTTTGCGTGCTAAAATTAGATTTGGAGATTTTGCCTCGTCGCACCGCGCTGAGGAACTAATATTACTGTATTTTTCTTACGAATTTAGAAGATATTCGCCTGCACGTTATCAATGAGTAAATGTTTATCAGAAATTAATGTGCCATAGTGGACGAGTTTTGTACAAATTAGTGGTTGTTTGAAGAGTGATAAATGCATCGAATCGTTAACTTTTTCCACGCCAAGCGCTATTTGCCTTTAGATAAGGAAAAATGTCTATTGCAAGGTGATTTTCTCTAATCTCATTGTCGCTGCGCGCAAAAATATCACTCAAATTTCTCGTGCCATCAACTTAAAGGACATTGGCGACAAAATATACGTCTTTTTGCCTATTTACTCGTCACATTACAGCTCATTGAGTTTGCTCTTGCATATGGAAGTGTACTTTGTTTGCAGATTGATAAAAATGAAGACTGACTCATTGCTGATATTTCCATTTTTGCTCTTTTTTTCTCTTCCTCTCGCTCGAAAAAATCCACTTACATGTAAAGTTATTTGTCAATTTTCCTTTATCACCTCGTGCGCACGTTGGTAAATTGTCGAATTATTTTTTGTACTGCAGCAACTCAGTGAAAAGTGTAAATATCTTTCACAAACATTGGTCAGCGTGTGAGAATTGTTTGACTTTTAAGTGCAAAATTAGCGTTCTTCTTCCATACATGATTATTTTCATAATCAGTGAGCAAATTGTCGATAGTGCTTCTTTTATCAAATGATTTTCACATGCGCAAGACTACTTCAGAAACTGAACACGAAATGCAGGAAAAATCTCTGACAATCTTACAATGTTTCAACAATCGAAAGGACTTCAAGCAGCAACATGTGTACAACATTTCCACCCGCAATATCTCTCCCTTGTCTTCTGATCCATTGCGCAATGCGCGCTGGACTTCTGTTCGCCTACAATTTCTCGCTAACCTGGCAAGATTGGCCTCATGTTGCCATGCATTTGTGTTCATTGGAAAATTTCCCAACTCATGGTAACACAGAGACTTTTCTAACCTCTCGCGATGATCTTCATCGGCAATTCCGATCACACGACGCGATGTATTTTCACATTATGAAAAATGAAATTGAATTTGATTACCCTTTAGTCCTCTGCGCTGTCTCACCGCCAACAGTGCACAATAATGTCGATGGAATTCTGCACGCGAGAGAATAAATTGGAACATTGCGGTGGGCACAACATTACTTAATAGACTCTTTGGGTGATCATGGTGATCTTTGTTGTGAATTTCAATGCTTTTCCCCACAATGATCATCGCAGAGTGTAAGAAATGTAAGAGATTCAACGCGTGAGAGACGAGATCTGCTGAAAAACAAACACGCCGCGTCCAAGTGACCTCTTCGCTGAACAATTCAAGTCCTGACAAAGTCGTCCTTCGGCGGAGATGGAAAAGGTGGTGGTGGTGGTGGAAAAATGGGAAAGAAATGTCACTTTAAATTGCCGCGCAAAATCCTCATTTGTGCATTATTTTCCATCATTCCCTTCTTCGCCACTAATAAAGGTAATCAAGTCATACTGTTGTGGCTCTAATGTACTCCCCAAAATGATGTAATATGAGGAGAATTTAGAGTAAAATATCAAAATCGTGACCAATTCACGAAAGCGCGCCAAATGCACTGCGCACATAAAACATTATGCGATAGATAGCGATTTCTTCTTCAGCATTGTGGGCAGACTTTTGGTTAACTTTGGATGTAATTGGAAAGTCACTGACTGCTGGTTCTCTCCTCATCGCGCCGTATTTATTTAAAACAACACTGCGAGGTGCCAAATTGTTAGCTCTAAAGACGCAAGTTCTCTGTCTCTCTAAACATTTATTTTTATTGAATTGTGTGGTGATTAAGTTCAAAATTCCCATATAGCGTTCACGTCGTTTCTCTCAACACTAATTCAATTTATACTCTGCCAGTGAGATTGAATTATACTGACTCATGCGAGAATATATAGTCGTTTTGGCGCAATTGCGAAAATTTCCCTTTGATATTGGCAAATATTAAATGTGATATTAGGCGCGTGATTTAGTGAAGGCATCAATTTATACATTTTTCGGGCTGCCCGATGAGGAAATACGCGAGTGAACATGTGAAGTTGAGCGATGATATTGGATTGTATGTGAAACTTTAATTACCATTTCATTGTATTCCAAGCATAATATTTTCCTCGATCACATTTGCCGAGTCACAATATCCCATGATCAGTCCATTCCTTGTATCTAATTGCGATATTTTGTCTCAAAATTGCGCAA